TAGAAGAGCAGAATTCTGACAGAAATGTTAACAGTAAAGGCCAGGCTCAGAAAGTTTCAGTTGGGAACAAGGATTCCATTGACAATTGGAGTAGAGGCCATATATGCTACACTCTAGCAGAAAATTTGAGTCCATGAATCAAAAGATTTAATTTTGAGGTAGAGAGAAATACTCCACAAATTAATCTATAAAGTAAATGCAATCCCTATCAATCTAGCTGCCTTATTTTGCAAGCTAATCTTAAAATTCATATAGAATTTCAAAGAGGATCAAAAATAATCTTGGAAAAATAAAACAGTAGAAGGACTCTTACTTTCTATTTCAAACTTACTATAAGCTACAGTAGTCAAGATACTGTTGTTCTGGCATAACGGTAGATATAAAAACCAATGGAACAAAACTGAGGGTCTAGAAATAAACCAATATATCTGTGGGTTAATTAATTTTCAAACAAGAGGGTTAAAATCATTCACTGGAGAAATAATACTCTCTCCAAGAAAGGGTGTTGGAGTAATTGGATATCTACATGAAAAGAATAAAGTTGGACATTTATCTCACAACAAATATAAAAACTAAGTCAAAATGGATTATAGACCTAAATGCATTTTCTGAAACTACAAAATTCTTAGAAGAAAGCATAGAAGTAAGTTTTATGACCTTAAATTAGCCAAAGTGTTCTTAGACTTGACACAAGAAGCAAAAGGAAAAAACAGGTGCTCCTCAACTTATGATAGAGTTATGTTCCAATAAGCCCACCATAAATTGAAAATATCCTAAGTCAAAAATGCATTTATACACCTAAGCTACCAAACAACATAGTTCAGCATCACAATATATGCTAGAGTATTGCTTCCACTTATGATTATACCACAGACTGGGAACTCTGGTTCACTGTCACTGTGCAGCATTGTAAGAGAATATCTGCATTACATTTTGGTATCCCAGAAAAAAGATTAAAATCCAAAATTTGAGGTATAGTGTGTACTGAGTGTTTTACTGTTTTTGTTTTGTTTTGTTGTTTTGAGACAGGGTCTCACTATGTAGTTGAGACTGCCCTGGAACTCACTATGTAGCCAGGCTGGTCTCGAACTCACAGTGATCCTCCTGCCTCAGCCTCCCTCCAGAGTGCTGGGATTACAGGTGTGCGCCACCATGCCCAACTAAGTGTCTACTGAATGTGTATCACTTTTGCACCATCGTAAAGTCAAAAAAATGTAAGTTGAATCATGCTAGGTCAAGAACTATGTAGAAAAATTCATCAAAATTTAAAACTTTGTGTTTCAAAAGATAACCTCAAGAAAAGGAAAAAAAGAGTAGACACAATGGAAGAAAATATTTGAAAATAATATATTTGACAAGAAACTTTTATCTAAGATAAAGAACCCTTACATTGTAATAATACAAAGACTAATAATTCATTTTAAAAATAGGAGGAGGGGGTGAAGGGAGGGCAGGGGTAAGGGGAAAAAATGAGAATCAAGACTTGTCATGTAGCGGTACAAGATCCCAACAATGAATGTAACCGTACTGTAACCCTAAAATGTACCAATAAACTCAATTAAAGCTGAAAAAAATAGACAAAAAAATCTAGGTCAACATTTCCAACAAAAAATACACATTTAATAAGAGTGTGAAAATGTGATTGATCATCAGTCATTAGGGAAATTCATATCAAATCAGAATGAGATAGTGTGTCATACCCACTAAGATGGCCAGACTCAAAAAGTCAGACAAGAGTAAGTTCTGAAGGCTATGTGAAGCAACTGAAAGCCTCATTGATTCCAAATGAGGATGTAAAATGATGCAGTCACTGTGCAAAAAGGATTAAACAGTTGCCATAGGACCCAGGGATTCCATTCTTAGACATAAATCTGAAAGAAATGAAAGTAATATTTAAAGCAAAAGTTGTGTATGAATGTTCATAGCAGACCTATCCGCGATGGACTAAATGTGAAAAAATCCAAATGTCCATTGATGGATGAATGGATAAACAAAATGTGGTCTAGTTGTACAATGGAATATTATTCAGTCATAAAAATTAAGGAAGTACCATTGTTCCTCAGTATCCTCAACAGATTAGTTTCAGGATCCTCTTAAGATAACAAAATCAGTGATTCTCAAGTCCCTTATTTAAATAGTGTGGTATTTCTGCATAACTACACATACCTTCCTGTATAGATAAATCATCTCTAGATTATTTATAATGTCTAATACAATGTAAATGCCATGTAAATAGCTGGTTATACTGCATTTGGAGGTAATAATGAGATGAAAATGTCTGTCTGAAAAAGATATTTTTACAAATTATTTTCTTATACTGCAGATACAGAGGGTCAACTCTACATTTATGTGTATTAATCTTAGAAACATTATTCCAGCTTGCACCAGTCACAAAACTCACATATTAATAATTCTATTTACATGAAATATCTGGGATAAGATAAACTATATAGACAGAAAGTAGATTCGTGGTTGCCAGAGGCTGGAGGGAAGCAGGATAGAGGGATGATGGCTAAAAGGTTGCGTTTTTGGTTTTGTTTTACATTCTTAAGACTGTATTCTGCTCCAGTCATCCCTATCTTCTTCCTTACACTTTTTGTTTGTTTGTTTGTTTTTTGAGACAGGGTCTCACTATGTAGTTGAGACTGCCCTGGAACTCACTATGTAGCCCAGGCTGGTCTCGAACTCACAGCGATCCTCCCGCCTCAGCCTCCCTCCAGAGTGCTGGGATTACAGAAGTGCGCCACTACGCCCGGCCTTCTTCATTACACTTTAATCCTATAGATTCATTGCCACTGTACAAATAAGGAAGAATAGTGTGTCCGTTAGATATTGAAACAGAAAAACGTTCAAATAGGAGAAGTGAAGAGGTTGGAACATTCAGGTCGGAGTGATGGTGAAAAGTAGAACAGGAAAACCAGGGCTCAGTCACAACCAATTTTCACACTGAGGAGAAAGATAGGAATTGTTGGAAGCAGTCTGTGTATATGGGAAGAAGCTATGAAGAGGGAAAAGCAATGTCTGCTAGTAGCTACCTGGGTTGAGAGAGGAAAATTAGATGGAAGCACACCTCCTAGGGAAAAGAAACACCAGAGAAACCCAGAGAACCCACCCACAGTGGAATAGAAGGTTGGGGAGAGAGATAAGACCTGGGTTTGTCTAATTATACAATGCAAAATATATTTCTTGAGGTAGCATCCACTTTCAATTCCTCTCACACCTCAGGACCAAGCCCTAAATGATCATTTTGGAGACCAGGTGGTGGCAGGATGAATACTGGAGATGGCTGGAGGTCAGAAACCCACCAGGGCAAGTGTCCAAATATTGGATTCCATGATTAGAGGTGCAGGAGCACCTCTCTGGGGACTTAAAATAGATCACTTGCTGCAGAGAGGTAAGCCACGATATTTTAGTATATGCGCTGCTGAAGCGAGCACGAGGTCGGCCATAATGCTGGAGCCAAGATCTTCCACATGATAAACAACTTCAACCAAGTGACTGTCAGCCTTGCTCAGCTTGGTGCCAATAAAGTAGACTTGTCCGTGGCTCCTTAGCATCTTTTCCAAGGCATGGTTCCTTGCTTTCTCCTTAATGTGGGCAAGGTTTGCATCTTTCTTTCCAGGTGGACAGAATGGGTGATGAGCAGTTTATTTCATGCATATCTGCCATGCCTTCTGCACACATATCAATCATGGCTATCTCTTCTGTTTTTTGCTTTTTTGGGGTTTTTTTTGTTGTTGTTGTTGTTGTTGTTGTTTGTTTTTTGTTTTTGGTATTGGGGTTCAAACTCAGGACCTTGTGCTTGCGAGGCAGGCACAATGCCACTGAGCTAAATCCCTGGCCCAGGGCTCTTTTATGTCTCTCCTACAGGTCATATTTGGTGTAGTTCAGAATGGCTCTGGTCTGCACCAGCTTTGTTCCGTCAGTCCCCACCATGGACCCTTGCTCAAACATCAGATCTCCATCTCTATTCCAGCAGAGGCCAAAAGCCACTGGATGGACTCCATTCATGCCCTGTGAAATAAAGTAGTGAAGAACAGGCTTTTCCACCGTGATACCAGTGTCCTGGTTTCTTGTGTTACGGGCTGCTCCTTCTTATTCCCGTGGGTTTCTTTTTGAGGTGACAAAAATGTTCTAAAATTAGCTGGGGTGTTTGTTGCATGTATCTGTGACTAGACTAAAAGCCACTGCACTGCTCAGTGAAGGTGGGTAAATTGTGTAGTATGTGAACTTAGACACCTCTAAATTTGTTTTTAAAAAACAAAAAAAAAATAGTTAAGGCAATAATAAAGGATTAGACATTAAATACTATACAAAAGGTACAAAATGGCAATTCTCGGAAGAGGTCAATGCAGAAGACATGGTGTTGACATCAGGGTTTTTTGAAACCAAGCAATAACTTTTTAAACATCTGAGTGGTAAGAATTTTAAAATTATAAAACACAGGGTGCGTGAAATAATGCAGAGCAGTGGTATTTTCTTGCATTGCTGACTAGAATTTAAATTGCTAAATAGTTTTAGAAGGGATAATGCCCAAGTACACTAAATTTAAAATACTCCTACTGTTTGACTTCAAAGCTTCTCATAGAAATGAAGTGTGAGTAGTTGTGCTTAAAAGAATCCTTTTTGAAGCATGGCAAAAGAAAACTGATGCTTCCCTAATCGTAAAAGGCAAGTTTTAGGGTAGAGGTTCAATTGGATCTAATATTTAAAAAAAACAAATACATATATGTATGTGTGTGTGTTTATGCGATTATGGAAACATTGGACAAATACATAATTGTGGACTTTTGTGTACATTTTTTACTGTTTCACTCCTTTCAATGAAAAGAAATGGCATCTTTAAGTTGAACAAGTAAATTTTAAATTAGGACGAGAGTGGTAGAGTGGGTGACGTCATTAGAAAGGAGGGGAACGCACTGTTCTTCTGTCCTTTCTTTTTTTTTGGTGCGCTCCTTTTACAAACATTGCGGCGGCCCGAGCGTCGCGTCTACGGGGGGAATTACAGTAGCCGGTTGTCAGTGATGAGTCAGAGTGCGTGGTGCTGATGCTGCTGCCATTTCATCACCTTTGCGAGCGCAGCATCCATCCCTCCGCTCTCCCGAGCCTGGGCCTATCTCGCTTTGGGCTCCCGGGCCAGCGATGCGCTCCCGGCCGAGCTAAATCGGAACCGAGGCGCTCTGTCCGAGGCCTTGGCGGGGCGCCCGTCTTGCCGCCCCCGTCCCGGGCCTAGGAGACCTGCCAAGCCACGGCCATGGAGGCCATCTGGCTCTACCAGTTCCGGCTCATTGTCATCGGGGATTCCACGGTGGGCAAGTCTTGCCTCATCCGCCGCTTCACCGAAGGCCGCTTTGCCCAGGTTTCGGACCCCACTGTGGGGGTGGATTTTTTCTCCCGCTTGGTGGAGATCGAGCCAGGAAAACGCATCAAGCTTCAGATCTGGGATACCGCAGGCCAAGAGAGGTTCAGGTGGGAGCGCAGCCCGGGCCCGCGAGCAGTGGGAGGGTCTTCGGAGCTTGCACGGCCTCTGGGGACAGAGGACTTTCTAGTTCTAATCGCAGTACAAGGGTCTGGAGGGGTTTTGCTCAAGCCCACCTTGGGCTAACTGGGAGTTCAGTGCAGGGGAAGAACCCTGGTAGGAAAGAAAGGCTGGTCGATAACACATATTGCTTGCACCACAACTCCCTCACCCTGCCCCTGATAGCTAATAAACTAGCTTGAATTGATTATTAGAATTTATCAATCTCAGGCCTTATGTTCCATACTTTCAAAATGTTCCCCTGTCATCCTAACATAACTGACACCTTCAGATACTATAGATAAGTCACATGTATATTGTTTTATTTCTATATCTCTGTGTGTATATGTATGTGTCTCTGTGTATGCTAACGTGTGTCCTAACATAAAGGAAATAGATACTGATTAATTGATTGATTCTTTCTTGCAGTCACAATCCATTCACTGATCACTACTATGCACGAAACTCTGGACTCGTTTCTTGTAAAGTGTGAGGAGACTCACACAGACAATGCCATGTAATCAAAACAGAGCCCCTTCCCTCTTGTAACTTCTGTACTAGCATAGTGGGGGGAAATAATCAGCAATTACACAAAAGAGTGTCTTGTTTTTATTTGTACACCACTCCTTACTGCAACACTTGACACGACAAATAATCGATGAATACAGTTAATTTTCTCTCACAACCCTTTGCTTTTCCTTTGTAGAATATATTACTTGTAGCAATATGTGTGAATACAGAGGAGGGAGGCTTAGCTGTAGAAGATGAGACCCAAGTAAAGACAGGAAATGTCCAGAGATGGGAAATACCACGTATAAAGACAGAAGGGAGAGAAAACAGTGTACACAGAAAACTTTGCAGAGAACAATTTGAAGTAAAGTCAGGTAGCACAGAGGGCATCAGATCAAAAAGGCTCAATAGCCCATGTTTATGATCATTTATTTATCTATTGAACACTAATTGAGCATAGAAGGTACTGGTTAGGTAACTGAAGAGAAGTAAAGAGAAGAGATAATTATAAACATCTCTAACTTCTCACTTCTATAAACACTGGCACCCTTGTACAGATTCACTTTGTGCGATGGCTTGTCTCATAGCAAAGGAAGGTATCTTGTATGTTTGTTGGAATTTCTGTATGAACAGTCTGTTCATTTTCACTGCTCCCTACTTACTGGGCAATATTGATTTGTAAGACTTCTTTACAGGTTACTAGCGCTTTTCTGTCATGTATGTTCTAAGATATTGCCCCAGTTCATCATTTACCTCTGCTTTTTTAATATAGGGAAGATGTTAAGTTTTGTGTAGTTTTATGTTGTCCTTAGAAAGGGCTTTGCAACTTGCTTTGCCAACTACTCACAAGGCACTACCATAACACATTTCTAGAGGTTAGACAGGCTTTTACAGCTTATCGATTTCCTGAATCAAGCTTTGAACAAATCAGAATTTTTGTTCACGTCTAATTTTCTAATATACACATCATTATTCACAAATCTTTAATCATAGGAATGTTTTCATTCTCTGGGGCCGATTTGCCTAGTTCTGGAGTCTTGAACTCATTTGTAATGTTTGCTCTTAACCATAATCTAGATTGGACTGTAATTCCCCAATTTTCATTCTCTTAACATGGGGCATTTTCCCTAAGCTGTAAGCTATTGAGTCCTTCATTGTTTACCTTCTCGGTTAAAAAAAAAATATAGGCATACATCAACAATCACAGTAACCTAAACCAAGTGATTGTGGAGACCAGTACTTGTCCACCCTCTAATAAGCTCACGCATGCTAAGCAAATATGTATTTTACAATAAGGTTCATCAAATGAAGTTAAAATATGTGAATGAGCTTTCTTCTCTTTAAGAAGTACAGCAAAGCTAGGCGTGGTGGCTCATGGTTGTAATCCCCGCACTTGGGAGGCTAAGGCAGGAGTATCACCATGACTTCAAGAGCAGACTCGGATATATAGTGAGATCCTGTCTCAACCAAAAAAAAAAATACAGCAGATGCATCATAATTTAGATACTCTATTAACATTGTAATCAATACTCTATAATGATTTACATAAACTGTAATTTTAAGGGGAAGACTTGAATAGGCCGTTTTTCTCAGATAGTCCTCAGTCAGCTTCTGAAATCTGTCAACAAGTAGTGCAGAAAGGCATTTTACTCCTGAACCCTTCACCATCCCCCCTTTTTTCTCATTCCCACATGGCCTGGAGAATAAAAAACAAACCTATGTTTCTCCTCATAGAGGAGATTGAGGACCCCTGTAGGATGATAATAGTAATAGCAATAATGGAAAGACAGAGAGAGACATAAATTTAAAAATGGAGTATAACACAAGATAAATATAGTTATAATTTAACTCATGAATTCATTTTTACTCTTAAAATTCCCATTTCAATTGCTAGCATTTGTAATGAACTCTCCATGATAACAAACACTTTAGCACCACCCCTTATTTCATTTTGCCTCCCCAAAACCCTGTGATTTAGGAATCTTATTATACAGAAGAGAAAGTCTCTGTCAGTTATTCAGATTTGGGAATAGGGGAGTTAGCTGTGGCTCCATCGGAAGGCAAGAAATAAACTCATCTCCCAAGGTCATTTTCCCAATGTTTAATCTAAGGAAAATGCCTGAAGTTCCATGAGCATTTATTTCTAGAAAATTCCGTCTCAAAAATTTCCCTTTGAAAACTGTGTCATTAACCAGGAACACGAGAATACACTGAGTTCATTGGAGTGCAGGAGTTTGGGCACAACCTTTATTCTTTACTTCTTTCTTGTGTTTTAGATCCATCACTCGCGCCTACTACAGGAACTCAGTAGGTGGTCTTCTCTTATTTGACATTACCAACCGCAGGTCCTTCCAGAATGTCCATGAGTGGTTAGAAGAGACCAAAGTACACGTTCAGCCCTACCAAATTGTATTTGTTCTGGTGGGTCACAAGTGTGACCTGGATACACAAAGGCAAGTGACTCGCCACGAGGCCGAGAAACTGGCTGCTGCGTACGGCATGAAGTACATTGAGACGTCAGCCCGAGATGCCATTAATGTGGAGAAAGCCTTCACAGACCTGACCAGAGACATATATGAGCTGGTTAAAAAGGGGGAAATTACAATCCAGGAGGGTTGGGAAGGGGTAAAGAGTGGATTTGTACCAAATGTGGTTCACTCTTCAGAAGAGGTTGTCAAATCAGAGAGGAGATGTTTGTGCTAGTCAGCTCTTTTATTTCCAAAACATGCTCTCCCACATGAATTTAAAAGTGATCAAAACAAATAGAATCCTTATGTGATTGAAGAGAACTCAACCTTTGGATACCAAGTGAGCCTCCTTAGGGGGTGGGGGGCTTTTACAGGCTTATGTGTGGGTGATGCAGAAGCCGGGGTGCTATGACTGAGGAACTGAATTGCTGACATGGGCTGGGGGCCATACACTGTTTTGTGACACATGTTTGGCAGTGGCTGTTCCACGTGCCCTTTGTGGACATGTTAAGGGCCTGGGGTTTGCAAAGCTAGGTCCCAGGAAAACATACATGTAGACAGGACAATTGTTCCTTGGTGTTTCAGCTTGTTCATAAGTCATGCCCATAAATATGTAAAGGGAAAATATCATATTGGGAACAATTAACATGACAAAGAATATGGGACCTACTTATTCAATGAGAGCATCTTATACCAAATGTGCGTGTTCGGTTTGATTAAAAAGTATCAATTTGCTTCTAACAGCTCCCCTGTAAAATGAGGGGCATGGACCCTCGTTTGCTAAGGTTCTTTCCAGGCTTGGTGTTCTAGTAAAATGATGTGGATAGGAAAAGGGAGGTAACTTACACATTATTATTAAGACATTTGAGAAAAATGTATACCCTTGCGGTAGAGTTACCACCGGTGTCAAATCAATTGTCTCATAAAAATTACCACGAAAATAGCACACTGTAACCCAAACACCTGACCATGCCTGAAGTTTTACTGCTTTGGCCATTGCAAACTCAAAGTCCGCAGTCTGCTTGCTTCTTCAGGCACAAACAACACAAGAGTTGCCTCTGAAAAGAGACCTGAGGCAAACCCTTTTACCAAACCTGTACGGATCACCTGCTCAACAGAAGGCACTGTTAACCCTTACACACATGTTACAGTTACTCTACTGATTTGATCATTGCAGCAGGCCTGTGAAATTTTCTCCCCCATTTAACAGAATAGTAAACTCAGTGCAAGGACACTCACTGGGCCAAGGTCAAGAACTCTTGATTCCTAGTTCTTTTTACTGGATCATTATTCTGTCAGATGAATAAACGATTATTCATTTGTTTATTTTAGAAGACATATGACTGTAAATAAATGTTTTCTCCAGGTTAGGATATGTTTTCCCTATTGATTACAACTCAGCTATAATCTTTAGGAAACCTGGGAATGAATCAAAGGAAAAGCCCATTCAGGTATTCTTGGCAAAAGGGCTTTAAACAAATGATTAATTGCACATCTGAAAACGCATTAGAATTGTGTGAGCTATAAGTGTTCTTACCACTGAAATACAATGAACATTTTATTGAAGGGAACCAAATACAGCAATGGGGCTGGGATGGGCATAACATACTCATCCCTCAATGACCTTGGTCACCTGTCTGCTATATACCTACACAGGGTTTCTATCTACCCGAGAGTCAGCTTTTAATTCTCAGGAGAACAGACAGATAACTGCATCAGCAAATTGGAATGGCTTGAAGGTTCCATTATCTTCCTGAAGAGAGGTGATGCTTTAAATTACTTTTGGGATTGTAGCCAATTCAGCTAGGCAAAAGCCATACTTTTCAGAGTTAAGAAAACTATTCTGATTAGGGTCAGGTTTCTCATATCTACTGTAGGAAAGCCTAAGAATGGCAAATTGCTTTTTGAGATACCATGTTGAACTTCAGCATGAATGTGACTGAATCTGAAAGTTTGGGAATGTGCTTCAGCCAGAATAACGAAGCCTAACAATGAAAATTATGAAAGACCATTCTGCCACCTGTGCCCCAACTTGGACGAGCACCATGGACTAATTCACAGCATCAACTACAAGTGAACTGATCATTTTCTCTATATTCATTTCACATGACCTGGCTTGGGTGGCGTCCTTAAATCGTTAGCTTCCTGGCCATAAAGGAAAAAAAAAAAAAGATGGTTAATTGGGTCAACACAAAATGTCAACTACCATAATTAATTATGTTCAGAAGATTCTGAAAGCAAAATTATCCAGTGGATAAATGAGAGTTAACTGGATACTTATTAATTTAAAAAAAGGGATAGAAACAAAACTTCTATATAGTTTTCTTGACTAAAATACATTATATGTATACTTCCCCATTTCTGACTTTAAAAAGCAGGTTGAAAATACTCAGCATAGATCCCAGCAGAGGTGGCTGAATTTAATTGCTTAAATAAGTTCTAGAAACTTACAAAAAACATTTTAGTAGAATTCAGTGCTGTTGTCACTACAGCAAGTGGGTTTTAGAAAATAAGTGAAAAAATCAGGTGTTACTATAACACTAAGGATAAAGCTTTAGAAGCTATTTTACTACATAGGTAAAGAAAAGATTAACTTGTAACAAAGAACACAACTGCATGTTGGATTAGATTGTCTTATATTCCAGAATAAAATGTACTGTATACTTTTCCTCACTTTGTTGTGCACTGTAATGAGATGTGAAAAAAATCTTTATTTAGCTGTATGTGAATGAAAATATGCCTGTATTTAGTAAAATGGTTGATTATGTGACTGTGAGATTCCAAGTGTGTGTTGTAGCTATTTCCAGAATCTTTCACTTCAGTGTGGCAACCATTACCAAGGATATTATCAATAAGATACGATACATACTTTGCACAACACTGTTCACCAGTATCACAAGGCCAGAAAGAAAACATGATTTTTAAAGTTATATGACCATCACATCAAAAGACACAAAGACCTCACTACTTCTTGGTCATCACATATCACTGTGGGAAAAGTAGGTTCTGTCAAGCCTAAATCTTCATGATTGCAATTTTTAATCCAAGGCCTTCATTCTCTCATTAAGGAGTTGATTGTACCTACTGACTTCCTGTAAAGTCTTTTTCTCCAGGCTAAATTGCTTCAGACCTACTACGGTGTGCTTTACATGTTAGTATCATTTGGAGTGGGAGGGCTCAGATTGGAACACAATCATTTAGCACAGTTCCCAGGATGGATAATACACCTACAGTGGAGGTGTTAAAAGGGAAAGCCATTTCATTCTGAGTTTCGGCATAGGTAAGTACGTTCTTCATGGTTTAATCACTTTTATAACCACGAATGAAGAAGGCAGGAAAGAAAGGAAAAATGTGCACTGTCACAGCATTTGATAAACTTTATCACACTTCTTAAAATGCTTCCCGGGGCTTGAATATCCTTTCATTTATATTAATTTCTGTCGTGACCCCATGGCTTTAAATACCATCTATAAGGCAATAAGTTTGAAATTTATAAATCCAGCTTATCTCTTCCATGGACTGCTGGCCCTTATAACTAATTGCCTACCTGACATCTCCATTTTAATGTTTATTAGGTGTTACAAATTTAACATGTGAAAATCAGGCTCCTAATCTTCCTCCCCCATCTAATCGCCTTTCTCTTTTCAGTAAGTGGCAACTTTGTCTTTCCATATGTTCCTGCCCAAAACCTTGGAGTCATTCATCTTTGACTCCTTTCTTTTGCCTAATGTAATCGATCTACATCTAATCTGGAAATTACGTTAGCTTCACCTTAAAAGTATAACCAGAACCTGACACCTTTTCAATATTTTTACTGCTTAGCACACTGCTGTTGGCCACTATAACTTGTAACCTGAGTTGTTGTGATAATTGTTCTCCCTGCACCTTCTCTTGCCCTGCCTTCACTCTTCCCTTCCTCAGTCTGTTCCCTAAACAGCAGCCAGAGGGAGACTGATAGAACATTAGTTATAAGCAAGCATCTACACATAATTGGCCAATGGTTGTGTTTCATTGTTTAAAATTGAAAGTACTTCCAAGGACCCATAGAAGAACCCTTAAAAATGAATTCCATTTCTACCCCATTGCCTCTGGACCTTGTTTCTTTCTGCTGACCCCTTGTTCATTTTATTCCAGCTACACAGTTTCTGATTCTTCAAACACAGCAAGCACAGTCTCACCTCAGGTATTTATAATTCTTGTACCTGAGATATCTGCATGGATTGCTCCCCTCCCAACTTTCAGATTCTAGGGAAGATGTGACTACAGAAGTCATTGCTGACAGCTGAGAGTCTTACGCTTCGGTATGCCCTGGGGGACAACAAAGTTTAGCTTGGAAAAGAAAAGGAAACTTAGAAAGAGATAATGGAAACCCTGAACAATACAGTTCCATGGGAAGAAGTTGACAAAAATATTGCAGTGCAGCCAAGGGTTCAGGATGATAAGAACGGAAATGTACCTGTAGAACTTTAGGGAGCAGGAAGTCATTTGCCAGCATGTTGGCAGAATAATTTCTGCCTTCACCAAGCCTCTCAGGAAATTGGTCTTCTCAGTTCTGTCAGATAACCAGTTCATTTTTTTTTTGGCTTTCCATTCTCTCCACAACAGTCTCACCCATTCCTATAACTTCAGTTATTATCTTTACATGGCCGACTCTCAAGTAAAGAACTTGAACCCACTCTTCTTTGCATGATACTATTACAGCCCACTTGCCTACTACACACAACCACAAATTCCTCAAACTTAAAATATCCAATACTAAAATCAGTAACTATCAAAATTTTCTCTATCTACCCTAGTCTCACACCTCTTTCTCTTCCACCATCTACAGCCTTGCCCAACAGAGAAACTTAAGAATTATCCTTAATCCCTTACGTCTCTTCACCTCTCATATCTAATTCATTATCAAGAACTGTTAATCTATCTTTAAAATATATCTGTCCACCATTTTCCTCCATTTAAATAGCTATCATCTTTGTCCAAGCCACTATCAGCTCTTACCTGGACTACTTTGATATCGTTACTAACCCATCTTGCTCACACACTCAGGATATATTCCCAACAAAACAGTCAGAGTGATCTTTTCACAACATGCTATATCACGTCATTGTCCTGCTTAAAATCCACTGATGGTTTCTCACCACATTTGGAACAAAAGCCAGATAAGTCTTACATTTCTTAACATGGTCACAAGGCCCTGCATGATCTGACCTTTCCTATGCGTTCATCTTGTTCACCAGTATCTATCTAACCTATTGCATAGATATGTGCTTGAATAATCAACAATTGTATGATTTTTTTGTCCTACTTTAACCCACTGACCTTCACTCTTCACTTCAGTAAAATCCACACATGGCTCTGTCCTGAAACACTACATTTTATACAGCCTCTGACATTCTCTAATTACAAGCTCCAGTTGTCCACTGTCTCCCATGAACCAGAATTTAAATTTCTTTACGACCTTCATGCAATCAACTGCTGACCACTGCCAGTCTATCAATGTACCCTTCGCTTTTTTATCCTCCTTCCTTCCCCTCTCTCTTGTCATCAACTGCGTTCATCCATCAGTTCCTAAAGAAAATTATTATTTAAATTTTGGCCTATTTCTAGATTTTTATATTTCACTTTTCAAACAGTTATTTTAAAAGAAACTATGTATTTTGGAGTAAGACAGATATGGGTTCAAATTCTGACTCTACCAAAAACTATATGTGTGATTTACTATCACCAAGTCCCAGCTTTATCCACACATATAATTGTGTAATAATAGTATTTAACTCATACGGTTGTTGTGAGGATTAGTTTAGATAATCCATATAAAGGTATTGCTTAAACATCACATAATACTCAGAAAAGGTTAGGTATTATATGTTTGTACCTAAAGGAACATTTTTCATAAATGTAATCATGTAACCCATACTGTTATTACTTTGTTCATA